GTTAAGGAAAACTTTCGACCCAAAAATAATTAGAGAAAACCCCATTCGCTAATATTCCACCCAAATGCAATTTTCATAATTCCAAAACTATCCTTAATTTATCTACTATACCATTATACAACCATAATCTTATTTTCTATGTTCTTCTCATGCGTCTGTTTTTTTTTTCAATTATACTTTTTCCACATAATTCTCTAGTTTATTCTCTCTTGATCGGAAGATGAAGAACCAACCACCGGCTTCACCGCCAGAACAACGGCGCCAATCCCGTTAAATTTGTCGTCGTCGTCACCGTTGGGATTAATCCATCTTCTCCGCCTTTTGGTTCCCCCATTTGAGACATCTCTTCCTACTTCTCCCGATCTCTACCCTTCGCGGAATTAGGAATTTTGCAGATCTGAACAGAAGCCCTAACGATCATGATGATTTTGATAGAGATTTTGAATTCGATTACCATGATTGCTACATTCGCGGCGAAAAAGAGGTAAAATTATCGATTTGTTGCCAGAATCGGATTTTGATGGGTGGTGGTTCAGCTTTGGTTGGTGGTGCGGGTTGTGATTTACTTTATTTGTAATAAAAAACCGTCAGAATATCGAAGTGGGGTGGTGATGGTTTGATGTGCAGATGTAGGGTTTTTTTGGTACAAAGAGCGGAGGACAATGCGGCTAGAGAAATTCGCGCAGGCTGGATCCTTAATCGACTATGCTTCATCATAGTCAATTAAGTTAATGGACTGCTTTGGTAGTCGATTAAGGTTACTCGATTTCATTTTTTTAATTCGTTTTTGGATTTTTGTGTACTGATTTCGATTTGTATAAATCAATTACAATTTATGTATATTATTTGTTTTGTAAAAAAAATATTCATTTTCTTGTTTATGTAGTTGTGTTCTTTTATTTTTAGTAGTCAGTTCCTTAATCGACTATGTTTCATTATAGTCGATTAATATGCTTTATAGTCGATAAATGTAATAGATACGAAAAAAACCAAAAAAAAATAAAGAATGGCTGATGGTCGGTGATAGTGCTGATGAGGTGGCATGGACATAATTAGAAAAATGGATGTTTGAAATTAGAAGTGGGCTTGTTGATTGTGATGCAATGAAAGGAATCGAGCTATCTGTTGATGCCCCAAACATAACCACTTTTGGATATGATGGAGACTTTATCCCATCCATCTCTTTTGCAACTGTTACTTCCACCGAATGGAGTTCGGATATTGATCTAACATATGACCGTTCGTATGATGCTTCTTCGTGGTTCATTAAGCTACATGAACTGCTCAAGTCATTAAGCCAATCTGAAATTTCTCTGAATTTTGATCGTTATTCTCGGAAATCTGATAGGGACATAATTCGAGAAAACATTAATTTGGAACCTGCATCTGTTGTGGTGGAGAAATTGAAGTACGGTTGCACACCTTTATCTTCGATTTCATCTCTTTTGAATGGTGTGTTTAGTATTTGTCGTCCGAGAAACATCGAAGACGGCCTCTGCGGAGACAAAGGGGAGAGGAAAAGGATCAAGCGTCTGTGGACGATTCTAACGAAGAGAAAAATTAGAAAGAAAGATCGGTGCTCGCGCGGGTTGTGGTTTCGAGAATTGGAGGAAGTGAGAATGGAGATTTATGACGATAACCGAAAAGAATGGTATCCGACAACTCTGTCCGAATTGCCAAAGTACAATGACAGTAGTAATCGAAAAGAACGGCAGCCGATAAGTTTGATGGAATCGTCAGACAACGATGACGAAGATAATCACAAAGAATGGCATCCCATGAGTTTGTCCAGATTTCCAAACGAGAATCAAAGGGAATCTGTTAGGATTCGGTTTGCATTGAAATGGATACAAGATTAACTAGATGTTTGTTCTTCTTGTTCTGTTAATGTTTTTCTTTTCTTTTTTTCCTATTCTTTTAATTGGCGAAATAGTATTTTTTTTTTTTAAGTTTGTGGAGTGGTTTTGCAGTTTTTTAAGAATCTTCCTAAATTTTACATTCTATACATTAGATTTACATAGTTACGGTTAATTAAAAATATTCAAGCGATATTTTCTCAAGAAATTCTGTATGGATTTTCCCTTTTATTTTAATTATAAGTGAAACAAGATTTCCAAAAATCCTACAATTTCTGATGTCTCCTATCTGTTTCCTATCAATTAGACTTTGTTTTCAATAGAGTTGGTCACGATTTTGATCCAATTTGTCGAACTTTCATCATGCACATAGATTCTTGCCTTGACAAAACTCATGGAGATATTGATTTGTTTTCATGAACATCCGGTTTTTATATTTTACCGGATGTCGAATGGAATTAATGTTCTTTATGTTGCTCTTATATAAATGGCACCGAACTAATGGTGAATGAAAAGGGAAAACACAAGTGAAACTCTCAAAGGAAATCAACCCCTCGGAAAACGTTCTTTTCGAAGATGAACCCAAAACCAAATCCCCTTTGTTGAAAGAGGCTGCTTTCTTATGCTTGTTGGCTTGAGCTTGATACTTCTCATTCTTCTTAAGTATTCGATTTCGTACATTTTCGTGCAACTGTTTTATCTCCTCAACTCGTTTTTCTGCATCACCACTGAATTGATGTGTAGTAGGAATCGGCGATAAATCCAAAGGGCTGATTGGATTTCTTCCATAGACAACTTCAAAAGGACTTACTCCCGTGGTTTGACTTGTCGAGCGATTGTACGAGAATTCAGCTTGAGCCAACGACAGATCCCATTGCCGTATTTTCGACCCGACTAAGCTTCTCAGCAAGTTTCCCAGGCTACGGTTAACCGTCTCAGTTTGCCCATCCGTTTGCGGATGATGAGAAGTACTAAATTGCAAGATAGTGCCCAGCTTTCTCCAAAGAGTCCTCCAGAAATGACCAACAAACTTTGTGCCACGATCAGAGGTGATCGTTTTTGGAATACCGTTCAGTTTCACAATTTCTTTAGAGTAAAGATGAGCAATATGTGATGCACCTAGAGTTTTAGCACATGGTACAAAGTGTGCCATTTTAGAAAATCCATCGACCACGACCATAATAGAATCATTACCCCTTTGTGTTCGAGGTAAACCAATAACGAAGTCAATACTAACTTCTTCCCAGTGTGCTGTAGGGACTGGAAGTGGAGTATATAAGCCCCGTATTTTGTCCATGGCTTTTTGCTAGGTGACATGTTCGGCACCTCTTAACATGTCGAACGACATCTCTCACCATCTTAGACCAATAAAACTGTTCTTGTACCAGATTAAGGGTCTTGTCTTGACCAAAGTGACCGCCAAGTCCACCACCATGAGCTTCTTCCACTATTGATTCTCTAAGTGAACAATCTGGAATACATAATCGAGCCCCTTTGAAAAGAAATTCATCTTGTAACATAAAAACACCAACATAAGCATTAGAACAATCTGCCCAATTTTTTCCAAAGGTTGGATCATCTTTGTAAAGGTCCTTTACAACTTCAAACCCAATAACTTTTATTCCCATTGTAGTTAAACAAGAGTGCATTCGACTCAGTGCATCAGCAACCTGATTATGTTTACCAAATTTGTGCCTAATATGAAAAGTATAGGATTGAAGAATTTCGACCCATCTAGCATGTCTACTTTTCAACTTGTGTTGGCCGTTAATAAATTGTAATGCTTCATGATCTGAGTATAAGACGGACTCTTAGGATATGAGATAATGGTGCCAGTGATTCAAAGTACGAATGATAGCATAAAACTCCTTATCATAAGTCGAATACCTCGTGCGAGAATTGGTCAGTCTCTCACTAAAATATGCAATTGACTTTCCTTCTTGACTTAAAACTGCACCAATGCCAATATTTGAGGCGTCACAATCGATTTCAAACACCTTCTCAAAATCAGGGAGCCCCAATGTTGGAGCCTCGGTCATTTTTTTCTTGACAAGCTCGAAATTTCTTTGGGCTTCAAGGTTCCATTTAAAGGTGCCTCCTTTCAAACATTTTGTAATTGGAGAAAAGATAGTGTTGAATCCTTTGACAAAGTGTCGGTAGAAGGAAGCAAATCCATGAAAACTTCGAATGTCGTGTATTGAAGTAGGAATATGCCAACTTGTGATAGCCTCGACTTTGCTAGGATCCACCATTACGCCTTCGCTTGAAATGACATAGCCTAAAAAGACTAATTTATTTGTTATGAATTCACACTTCTTTAAGTTAGCATACAACTTTTGTGCTCGCAAGACTTGAAACACCCGACGAAGATGCTCAATATGTTGTTCTTGATCTTTGCTATAAACAACAACGTCGTCAAAATAGACAACCACAAATTGGCCAATAAATGATTTAAAAATATGATTCGTGAGTCGCATGAAAGTACTTGGGGCATTAGACAAACCAAAAGGCATTACCATCCATTCGTAAAGGCCGTCTCGGGTTTCAAAGGCGGCTTTCTACTCAGCCCCTGGTCTCATGCGAATTTGATGATATCCACTTCGCAAATCAATCTTGGAAAATATTTTAGCACCATGAAGTTGATCGAGCATATCATCAAGGCGAGGGATGGGAAATCGATATTTTATGGTAATCTTGTTCACGGCCCGACTATCCACACACATTCTCCAGGAACCATCCTTCTTTGGTACAAGAAGTGCCAGGACAGCACATGGGCTCATACTTTCCTTGATGAAACCCTTAGATTTTAACTCATCAACTTGCCACTGAAGCTCCTCGAACTCCTTCGGGCTCATCCTATAGGCTGCCTTGTTAGGGATAACGGCACCAGGGACAAAATCAATACAGTGTTGTATGTCCCGCACTGGTGGTAGACCTGCTGGAATATCATGTGGTACAACATCTCCGAATTCTTGAAGTAGAGGTTGTACAAGTGGATGAAATTCAAGTCTTTCTTTATTCTCTTCAAGAACTACCAGAACATAAGCCTTTTGTATTTCTTCTACGGCGGCAAGAAATTCTGTTTTTGATAGTAAATTGTTGTTCCCTCCTCCATTTGAAGGCTCGGGATTGCTATCAAGCTTGCTCGGACCAAGCACATTTTTCACACCATCTTTCTCGAAAGAGTAAGTATTTTAAAAACCATAATGCATCGCTCTTCTAGCATACTGCCATGGCCGACCCAATAATAGATGGCAAGAATCCATTGGAACAACATCACACCACACTTCATCTTTATAAGTCTTGCCAATTGAAAATTGAATTAAACACCGTTTACTCACTTTTACCTCATTTCCTTTGCGCAACCAAGATAACTTATAGGGGTGAGGATGATCAGTGGTCTTGCGATTCAACCTTTCCACCATTGTAGTAGACACAACCATTTCACAGCTTCCACCATCAATTATTACGTTACACACTTTTCCCAGGGAAGTGCACCTTGTACGGAATATATTATTGCAAAGCCATTTATATTCTTCCATGTGGATAGTATTTAAGCTTCGACGAATGACTAAGTTTTCTCCTTCGTCGCCATAAGTTACTTCTTCATCAAAATTAGGCCCACCATCATCTAGGGCGTCTTCTTGCACCAAAAAATCGTTTGATTCTTCTACTATGGTCACAATCTTTCTATTTGGGCAATCAGAAGCAATATGGCCTAGGCCTTGACATTTGAAACAACGAGTATTAGAGAGTCTATTAGGACCAGAAGATCCCTCTTGCTTTGTGGGTTTTGATGTTGTAGTCTTGCTAGTTGAACCTGAATTAGGTGAAGAAACAACTCCTCGAGGTTTGTTTCCCTCACGTGCCCATGACCTCGAGCAACTACCACGTTTTTCTTTAATTTGCTTTTCCACCTTCAGTGCTAGCTTCACTACATCAGTGTAAGTCCAATATGGTTGCAATTGGACAATATCACTAATCTTCGGGTGTAATCCTGCGATATAATGAGCAATTGTTTGTTCTTCCGGCTCGATGAGATCACATAGAATTCGAACATTATCAAATTCCGTTGTAAACTCTTCCACTGACAACTCATTTTGCCTCAGGTTGTGATACTTGACGAAGGTATCTTGCCGATAATTATCTGGGATAATTTTTTTTTTTTTTTGAATTCTTTTCTCATTTTTTCCCATGTGACAATCTGTCTCTTGCCGTCTCAGGCACGTTGCCTTTTCAAGTGCTCCCACCAAATGGATGCATGTTGATGATGCTAAAATATAGCTCACCTAGGGTGGTGTAGAAAATGAACTGGGAGAGAAAAGCGGATCAGTAGCTTGACAACTTGATGATCCTGAGGTACCTGCGATCATAGAACACGTGAATTAGCCCGGGGGGTTGATCCGGCGGAAACCCCTCTGATGCTCAAGTCAGACGTGCTGATAGTAGAAATAGTCCAGAGAATACGTATTGTAGTATTGCTCAGTTAATAGGACGTACCTTGAAGAATGAGTTCAAACCTTTATTTATAGCTTAGCTGAGATTGTCGGGCCCAAACCTTGCTTGAAGGTGATTGGGCCTCGGTGATAGTGGTCTTCGATATTGGGCTCGTGGCCTAGTAGGTAAATAATTTGTAGGCCCATTGGGTTGGACCAATTAGTCATATCATTAAGCCCCCCACTCTCGAGTCGATGTGGGGGTCATGTTGAAATGGGTGACAGATCGTGTCGAGAGGAAAATTTTTAGTAGTCGATGGTGTGCGAAAACGCGTTGGAGCATGTGTCGGAGGGGCGTGAATGCGCGTTGGCGCGTAGCGCTACCAAGTTGTCGCTATGTAAGTTATTTGAGTCGTCGGTGTTGTCCCGCGACGATGTAGTAACGAATTATCTCCTCGTGGGAGTTGTCTCGTCGCGGGGTAATATATTTGATCGAGTTATCTCCTCGTGGGAGTTGTCTCGCGATAATGTGGTAGCACGGATCAAGTAATCTCCTCGTGGGAGTTGTCTCGTCGTGGGGTAATAGAGTTGATCGAGTTATCTCCTCGTGGGAGTTGTCTCGCGATAATGTAGTAGCACGGAGCTAGTATTCTCCTCGTGGGAGTTGTTATTTATCGACATTGTCAATGTTTTGACGCGTTGCTTGTATGTATTTACATATAGCTTTGTGCGTGATGTACTTGAGAAGGGGATCAGGCTCTCAAGAGTTTTTTATGGGGATCGTGCCCCTTTTTAGACCTCGTGGGTCGTAAGTATGTTTGGACCGTGGCCACGTTTTAATGAAAGATCCATCGAAAACAAGTAGATAAATTTTGAGTAATCAAGCTGGCCAGTCTATATAGATTCTCATAATATCTCTAAGTGTTTCTAGGGTCGTAATCGTGCTAACTTGAGCTTGCGATTATGTAGTACATTGCGAGCGAGTTGTCTCTTCGTGAGAGTTGTCTTGCAGCGAAGTTGTATGAGCATTGGATGACGCGTGATTGAGGAGCGTGTGGATTGAGGTTGCTCTGAGCGAGATGTCTCCTCGTGGGAGTTGTCTCGCAGCGAGTCTTATTATCGAGCGAGGTGGTTGCACGTGGGAGTTGCCTTGCAACAGATTTGTAGTATCGAGCGAGTTGGTTGTACGTCGGAGTCGCCTTGCAACGGATTTGTAGTATCGAACGAGTTGGTTGTACGTGGGAGTCGTCTCGCTGCGGGTTGTGGTATCGAGTGAGTTGGCTCCTCATGGGAGTTGTCTCGCTGCGGGTTCGTAGTACCGAGCGAGTTGACTCCTCGTGGGAGTTGCCTCGCTGCGGGTCGTAGGATGGAACGAGTGATCTCCTTGTAGGAGTTATCTCGCTGTGGGTGCGTAGACCCGAGGGAGTAGACTCCTCGTAGGAGTTGCCTTGCAACTGATTTGTAGTGCTGAGCGAGTTGGCTCCTCGTGGGAGTTATCTCGCTGTGGGTCCGTAGACCCGAGGGAGTTGACTCCTCGTGGGAGTTGCCTCGCAATGGGTTATATGACTAAGCGAGTTATCTCCTCGTGGGAGTTATCTCGTTGTGGTTTCCTAGACCCGAGGGAGTTGGCTCCTCGTGGGAGTTGCCTCGCAAGGGGTTATATGACGGTGCGAGTGGTCTCCTCGTGGGAGTTATTTCGCTATGGTTTCGTAGACCCGAGGGAGTTGGCTCCTCGTGGGAGTTGTCTCGCTGCGGGTTGTAGGGCGGAGCGAGTGGTCTCCTCGTGGGAGTTATCTCGCTATGGGTGGTAGGATGGAGCGAGTGGTCTCCTCGTGGGAGTTATCTCGTTGTGGGTTGTAGTACCGAGCGAGTTGACTCTTCGTGGGGTCTCGCGTGCGCGATTTTACCCTCTTTTTTTTTTTTTTTGTGGTTGATGTTCACCTCTTGGGATGTTCTATTTTTTTAGTGGGGAGATTATACTCGTCTCTTGAGATGTGATGTGAACCCACTTGGGGTTGAAAGGTAAGGGTGATGCCCAACCTTGGGATGGGTTAACCACCCACTGTCGGATGAGGCGCTCGAGACCTATGGTCTGAGGTGGATGCACACGGTTGTGTCGTTGCTTCAGTGACAACACGAGTTGAAGCTTTCGCGGTCGTATGCTGAAGGTCCTTATCGGTTATCTGAACCGTTAGAGGAGCAAGTAGAAGTTGATATTGTTGAAGTTTCGGCGATCATACGCTGAAGGTCCTCTTCGGTTATCTGAACCGTTCGAGGGGGGGCGGAAGTAGACCCCCAGAGAGTCGATGACCCATGGCGAACGAAATATTTTGGGGGCACTATAAACCCCCAGGGAGTCGATAACCCTTGGCGAACGAAATATTTTGGGGGCATATGTAAGCCCCCAGGGAGTCGATAACCCTTGGCGAGCGAAATGTTTTGGGGGCACTGTATACCCCCAGGGAGTCAATAACCCTTGGCGAACGAAATATTTTGGGGGCAGATGTAAGCCCCCAGGGAGTCGATAACCCTTGGCGAGCGAAATGTTTTGGGGGCAGATGTAAGCCCCCAGGGAGTCTATAACCCTTGGCGAACGAAATATTTTGGGGGCAGATGTAAGTCCCCAGGGAGTCGATGGCGGTGGTGCCATAGGTGGCTCCACATGTGGAGCAGGTGCTGGTATCGCGTTGGGAGAATTTGCTCCCATCGTGGCGATATATTGGGTCACGGCCTCTGTGGCAGCGTGAGTTGAAGCTTCTGCTATCATGCGTTGAAGCGCATCCTCGGTTATTTGAACCATTCGAGGAGCAGGGAGTGGTGGATCGGCGAGTGGTGGGTCCCGAGGGGGGATCACCTGAACCTCGCGAGGCGGATCCATGGGACGTGGAAGAGGTGGCAAGTAAGAGCCTCCACGAGGTGGGAGGTCGTTAGCTGTGTCATTTTCTCTCCGAGCAGACGCCTCAGGAGGATCTTGTTGGCTACGTGATCTGGTTTGCATCGTTCCTACAGACGGCGCCAAAATGATGATGCTAAAATATAGCTCACCTAGGGTGGTGTAGAAAATGAACTGGGGGAGCAAAGCGGATCAGTAGCTTGACAACTTGATGATCCTGAGGTACCTGCAATCATAGAACACGTGAACTAGGTCGGGGGTTGATCCGGCGGAAACCCCTCCGATGCTCAAGTCAGACGTGCTGATAGTAGAAATAGTCCAGAGAATACGTATTGTAGTATTGTTCAGTTAATAGGACGTACCTTGAAGAATGAGTTCAAACCTTTATTTATAGCTTAGCTGAGATTGTCGGGCCCAAACCTTGCTTGAAGGTGATTGGGCCTTGGTGATAGTGGTCTTCGATATTGGGCTCGTGGCCCAGTAGGTAAATAATTTGTAGGCCCATTGGGTTGGACCTATTAGTCATATCACATGTTTTTTTAGCTTGAGAGCTACTATCTTTACCTTGCGATCTTCCTCAATGTCTTTGTGGTCGAATATTCTCTCAACTGTATTGATCCAATTAATGAATTCAGGAATTTCGATTCTGATATCAAAGTTCTTTTGCGAACCAAAGTTTCTTCTTCGACGGTGTGGTATAGACTCATCACCAGATGACTGATCATGAGCACTAGCAAAAGGGTTGGTATCTTCCAAATCAGGCACTGACTCGTGACGAAAATCATCATGATCCAGAGATTCGAAGCGCTCTAAACGCTGCTGGAGTTGCTGCACTTGTCTCCTTAGTTCATCCATCTCGATGTCACGAAGATCTCGTTCTCGCTCTTCATGATAGTCATGGTTAAGGGGGGGTCGTCCACCACGGCCTCTACGTCTCCCAGCCATGATCGTCAAGCTCTGATGCCAAAATGTCACCGAACTAATGGTGAATGAAAAGGGAAAACAGAAGTGAAACTCTCAAAGGAAATCAACTCGCCACTCAATGGAAATCCACCAAAGAGATAAGAGAAGAAAGTTTATAAGCTGTTATTTATATAAATTATTTTCAACTCCAAAATTGAACTGCTCAATACAATGAGGGAGGAAGTATTTATAAGTCAATCAAAGAATGAAAATTAAGAGTCATTCATGAACGGCATTAGTAAAAGTTTCTTGAACTACCAAGTTAATGACCCTGTGAATCCCTTGTCCATATTCGATGTCAAATGGATTGTCCAGATTCGGTGTCGATAAATTACACATATTTATCATGTGCGATGCACATCAAAAATAAAAACAATGATTAGTTTAATACATGACAATAATAATTAATTATAATAAATTTTATTAGTGATATCGAAACAATATTAATATTTATACAAATTTAATAATACAAACTCAGTTTGAAAAAAAAATATATAAACTTAATTGTTATAATTAGTGGGAAAGCCAGCATAGGGCCAGGGGGCCATGCCCCCCTCAAGTTTAATTTTTTTACTACTATACAGAACTTCGAAATGTAAAAAATGGAGGAAATGGTTCGTCGGCCAGCTGTTCAACCAACCTCAATTGGAAGAAAATATGGGGCCTAGATATTCCACCAAACATACGTATTTTTATTTGGCGAGCCGGCTTGAACATTTTGCCGACGAATGCTGAACTATTCCGGAGGAAAATCGCGAACTCCCCACTTTGCCCGCGATGTCAGGTTGAGGAAAACATCTTGCATATCACCCATGCTTGCCGAGGTATGGGTACTATCTGGTCAAGTCATCCTTTTTCTTAAATCCATATGGTCTGTGCACAAAATTTCGGAGCTTGGCTAGAGCACAATATGCCGCTTTTTTTGTCGGAGGTTCTAAAACTGGCCGTTGTGGTATGTTGGCTTGCATGGAAATAATAGAAATAATGAAATCCATGACGAGAAGATAATAGAGCAGAATGATATTATTGTACGGAGTTCTTTGCTTCTCTCACTCTATCACAAAGCAAATATCACAACGATTGTACCATATGAGGGTCTGGAAACCTCCTCGTTTGGGCACAGTCAAGATAAACTTCGATGTAGCCTTTTCGGTGGGATTGGCATGGAAGTTGCATGTCTAGCTGGACGGCCTAAACCAGTAGAGGGGGAAGCGTGTGTGGCGTTATATGCAATTAGGAAAGCTAAGGCGGCAGGCTGGAATTCGATTATAGTGGAAGGAGATTGCCTTTCGGAGCTCTTATTGACGAATGTTTATTTCTTGCATGCGTCTTCTTTTAGCTTTATCTCGTTTGAATTTGTGAAGCGATCCGGCAATTGCCTAGCAAATGCCATAGCTAAGATGTCTATTTCTTCTTGTAATGAAGGGTTCTTCCTTCCTTCAGACTTGGCATCATATGCCTAATAATATCGTTCATTTTTTCTTCAAAAAAAGAAAAAAAGAAAAGAAAATAGGAGAATAAAGTAATAATAATAACAATTAAAAAGATATAGAGGCAGTGGATTATGATTGTGATTGCCGAGATTTGGTGTGAAAGTAATTAAAAAAAAGGGGGCTATTTGATTAAATTCGTTCTTTCAATTTCGGTACAGTGATATATTGCAAATTTAAATCCCATATTTGAGAGAACCCCTTCCATAATAAAATGGGATTTTTCGACAAAACCCTCTGGTTATACATGTGCATTTACAAGGAGTCCATTTTTTTTTTAGATTTTAAAATAAATCCAAATCATTTTTAATTAATTAAAATTAAGAGTAAACTGCAAAAAGTACCCCTGTGTAATTTCCAAATAGCAAAAACCCCCCTATGATAAATAAACTAGCAAAAACCCCCTTGTGAAATTTAATCAAAGGCAAAAAACCCCCCAATTTACTTACGTGTGTCTCACTCGCGGGTTGCGCGACTGGTAGTTGGTTTTTGGACGTGAAATGACGAAATTGACCCTAAAATGTATTTATATGTATATATTATATGTATATATATTTTCCTTTTAATTTAATTGTTTAGAAATTAAAATATTGTTAAAAAAATAGTAAATAATCAAATTGAAAAATTATTAAAAATTTGTTAATCAAATAAAATATATATATTTTTTAATACATAATAATGTAATTTAAGTTTTCTTTTTGATGTAGAGATAATTTAAAATATATACAAAAATTATGTGATCATAAAAATAAAAATAAAAATAAATTAAATACCCCATTATACTTTTATAATTAAGATATAAGAAAAATAAAATAATTAAAATATTTAAAAAATATAAGAATTTATTAATTGCAAAATCCCAGGGGTATTTGTGTCTTTTTATATGAAGTCAACACTCAAATGAGAAATGGGCCGAGTGTGCTTTATTATTCCAATTTTGTCCTTTCTTCTCCCATTTTTTCTCTCTTCTCAACCGTCCCTTTCTTTCTCTCACATCTCCCTCCTTTTACGTATCTTTTTAATTCCTCTTTTCTCTCATTGACTTTCTCTCTCTCCCTCTCTCTCTTCTCTACTACATTCACTTTCTCTCTCACCCTCCCTCTCTTCCCTGATACGTCTCTTTCTATTTCTCTTTTCTTTACCAAAATTAACGGATCCATAGCCGCCGCATCTTCATGGCTATCATTGGTTCACGTTCAGATCTGTTTTCTGACGAAGCAGCATCCGCCGCTACAGTCTTGCAATATTGTCTCGGAGCCTCATGCTCATTTCATTGGTTCACATCTAATTCTTCAAGGAAACATACGGCTAGTGATAGTTGTATTGTGGAAATTCCTTTTTAGGGAAATTGAATTTACACGGAAGGTATCCATATGCGACTATTGAGATCATTTGAGACTTTGGGCGTAATTGTGAAAGTGTTGGAATTACTTACCGACGGATAAATAATTTAACGGTGGTGAATTTTGGTCATAAAATTATTGTACATAAATGATCATTGACTACTATAAATTTGTAGTTAACTATCACAATTTACAGTTAACTATTAAAATTTCATAGTTAACTTTCACTATTTTGTAGTTGACTAACACAATTTTATAGCAAACTAATAGAATATTATAGTTGAGATCGTTTTGGGACTTTGGACGTAATTGTGAAAGTGTTGGAATTACTTGTCGATGGTTGAATAATTTGAGGGTGGTGAGTTTTGGTCTTAAAATTATGGTATATAAATGATTATTGACTACTATAATTTAGTAGTTAACTATCACAATTTACAGCTAACTATTAAAATTTCGTAGTTAACTTTCACTATTTTGTAGTTGACCGACACAATTTTATAGCAAACCAGTAGAATATTATAGTTGACTACTAAAGTCAGTAGTTAATTCATTAATTTAGTTGTTCACTAATATATCGTAGATCTTTCCAAACAAAAAGAAAAGGTAAAAGTAAAATAATTAAAAAAGAGAGAGAGAGAGAGAGAGAGAGAGAGAGAAAAAAAGGATTAAAATAATTAAAGAAGATAGAGAGAGAGAGAGAAAAAACACAAGTTGGTTGACCGATCCTATTTAAAGGGAGGGGGTCTAGATCAAAAGAAAAATGTAGGGATACTATTGAGATACGTAAAGTGGAGGGGGTTGCACCATATTAAAAAAATGCTTGGTACCTAGTTCTAATATTTTTGCTAATAAGGGGGTTATGCCTCATTAACCCTAAAATAAAACCCGAAAAACTACTGTACGCTGAATTAATTAAAACCAGAATATTAGCATATAATCATACATTTTTTTTCTCTTGATCTAATGCAAAATAAATTATAATATTGGTTTAGTGTCATGTTCAACAAGTTCATTAGAGTGCTTGAATTTTTTATTTTCATATGTGTTATAATTTCCATTCGGAGAAGTTTGATTTTCTAATTTCTTTATTTATTTTTCTTTGCTTCTCATATATGTTATGATTTTCTTTTCTAACAAAAAAATGTTTCATCCTGTTCAAGTAATGGTAGGGTATGTTTTCGACATTGGTGGTGTATGATGTTCTTTGTATATTTTTTTGTTAAAAAATCAATGAAACAGACCCTTGTGATCTCTGTGGCGCGAAATTCTCTGTTTTGTCGTCACCTAGCTGTACTATTATGTAGTGATATTTTATAAGTTTATAGTGGATTTTTGTAATGAAATTCGTTAATTACATAGTGGTTTTCGTTAAATACATAGTAGTTTTCATTAATCACAGAGTGATTTTTGTTAATTGATAAGTATACGGTCGATTTTGTAATGGAATTTGTTAATTACTTAGTGATTTTTGTGAATTACATAGTGGTTTTCATAAATTACAGGGTGATTTTCATTAATTACAAAGTGGTTTTTGTTAATTACATAGCGATTTTCGATAAGTTTATAATAAATTTTCTTAACGAAATACTATAATCACATAATGGTTTTTGGTAAGTTTATATTGGATTTTAATTTGTTAAAAACTATTTTTTAAATTTAACTTTAAAAAATTGAAGTATAAAAACTAAACAATCAAAATTAAAAAAGCGAAAAATAAACTGTTTTTTGACAAAATCAAACTCTTCTTACGGAAAAATCAAAAATAAAAAAAAAAGAAATAAAAACGCGATTTTTCGAGTTGATTTGGGAACGTTATTTGGGGCATAAAATTTGGAGCGTGATTTGGGGCCACAATGTTTTGAAGAAATTTGGGTATAGATTAGGAGCAGGATTTGAATTTATAAACATAATTTATTTTTTTAATTTCTTGGAATAGTTAGTTGCGGTTGTCTAGGGTCCGAGAGGTTTGTACTTCTCGGACCGTAATCTACCAATGATATTATGACACATAGGATAAATACGAACCCCATAAAAAAAGTACAATACCCACGTTTTAAGTAAAATTACGTAAAACCCCTTAAAATTAAAACTTAATTACAGAGCAATAATAATTATAATAAAATAATAACTTGTCTATCAATTCTTTCTG